TTATATGTGACACGGCACCAGAGTTAAGTTAGGGTTTTTCAAAATGCTGACACGCTGAGCTCAAAAGGTTCGCCATCACTGGCCTAGTCTGACACCGCCGCCACCCAGTCTTGGTGGTGCTTTCTATGGGCAGGCAGCAGGCGCCGCCCCAAGGCTGGGCAGGAGAGGGTTGCTTTAGAGGGGCATCTCTGCTCCTCAGGGGTCTGTTTAAGGGAGCAGAGCTCAGACCCCCCAGGGGGCCTCAGCTGATGTCTCCTCACCCTGGTTTACTGGAGCTCTGCCGGCCACCTCTCACTTGCCTGGCACACTTTCTAAGGGACCCTCCCTCCAGGTTCACACACTCCAAAAGCCTGGCCAAGGCCTTTCTTCTCAGGCCCCCTTTGCTCCTCTGTCCAGTGGATATCACCCTGTGGCCTGTGAGGCAGAATCAAATGCCAGGGAAGGGCTGGGGCGGAGGGGCCAGGTCAGCTCTGCGGGCCGGGGGACCCTCATTGTCTTTGGTTTCCTCGTCTATACGTCTATACGTTCACATCAGTCTCTAACGGCCCATCTCTTGGAGATAGTTTGGCTTGCTGGGTTTTATTTTTCCCCTTTAACAAAGTCGTTATCAAACAATTGACACACAATTGTAGAACAGTTAGAAAATGCATTCCTGTTCCTGGTGGTGCCACCCCTCAGGCTATGTTCCCTCCACGCCTCCTTTGCTGGAACACACTCATGTGCACGCATGTGGATGTGTAACATGCATATTTGTCCTCTGTGTCCTAGGCGCTCCAACCAGTCAGCCCGACTCTGGTCAGCTCGATGCCAGCCTTACCCACTGCCCCAGACTGGCTGGGAGCAGGTTTCCATCGCCCTGAGGAGGTGCCCTGCTCTGGCCTGGCCGAGCACCACCTCTTCTCTCTGGTGCTGGTCTATGCCAGGGTGAGGAGCCTTTTCCCCCTGGGACTGGAATCCAGTATTGCCAAGCCTCCCCTGTTTTGAAAACGGGAAGCTGACCCAAGCAGCTGGGACAGGAGGGAAGGCAGCAGTTCAGGGTCTGTACCACCCTCATTGTATAGAAGGGGGCGTCCTCCAGGTCAGCCTAGGACCAGCCTGCAGGGGGCTGGGTGGATAGACTCTGATCAAGCACAGGTACCTGTCTCCTGCTGTCCTCACCTCTCTGTTTTCTCTGTCCTCATGTGTGTGCTGCCCCTGGCCCATTTATTTATCCATTCTACCCCCGCTTTCCCTTCATCTCCTCTTTCTGACACGGCACACTGGGAAGAAGGTGGCAGGCCTGGATTCAAGTCCTCCTTCCACCATTTCCTGTCTATGTGATCTGAGGCAAATCACTTAGCCTCGCTGAGCCTGTTTTTTCATCAGTAAAATACCCATCTTCTGGACCTGCACAGGGATAGAAGATGCGAATGCCATTACACGGCCTCAGAAAATGACAGTCCTTATAAGTGGGGGCTCTGAGATTTGCACCCAGACACTTTGACTCCAAGTCCAGTGCTCTCTGCTTCATTGGGCTGCCTTCACTTTAGGTTAGAGAAGCAGCAGCATAGAGACTCGGAGCCCACAGGCAGCCAGGAAAGGCCTGGCTGGCCTCTGCTGGCTCCAAGGAAATGGTCCCCACAGAGCCCTGTGCGGGGTCCAGCCCCTGCCACCTCCATGGCCCTGCAGAGCGGTGACAAGGCTGAGCCAGTGGCCTTCCTCTGGGGCCTGTGAGCCTGGGTCTATTTGCATGGGGCTATAAATAGTTGGCACACCTTGCTTTTGTGCCGTTATTTTACCTCCTGGCCTTTCCACCCACCAGTGTTCAGACGCCCTGTGAGGTAGGTGGGCGACCCTGGCTCCACTGTGCAGTGTGGGACTGGTGTGCAGGGCCCCGGGGCCCCTCAGCATCACACAGCGATGGAAGGAGATACCGGCTCATGGGGTCTCTCTCCCTCCTGGGGTCCGGGCAGTCCAGTTGGGGTAGAGGAGGTGGTAGAGCCTGGCAGGACCCATGCTCTGGTTTTAGACCTAGGAAGTTTGGGCGAGGTGACCTAACCATAGGGTTACTGCCAACGAGGCCCAGGAGGTCTCCCTCCATGTGGCACTGTGGCCTGGTGGTACAGGTTTGGGGCCAGGGCCCACTGTGGTTGTGGTTTTCCCCTGGTGGCTTCTAGCTAACTGTGAGCCAGCAGCTGCTCTGCGTGTGGCTGCAGAGAGCTAGAGGCTCAGCCCGGGCTCTGACACCCCCATTCTCTCCTCCGTGTAACTGGGTGGTCTCCGTGGACAGCTCCTGGCGGGCCACCTGGAGGCCCGGGAGTCATGGAGTCTGTGGGCCATCTGGGCTGGGCCCCACGGGGAGGCAGTGGGAGGAGGAGCCACCAGCAGGTGTTTGGCACACTCCCTGCTTCAGGGTGAGCAGCTCTGTGTTCCTGGAGACTAGGCTGCCCTGACTGAGAAGTGGGCTCGGTTATCAGGACTGTCTTCCCAGGCTGGCGGTGGGTGGAATAGGTGCGGTGGGGGATGTGAGTGCTTCATGCACTGAGAAGGGAGGTGCACGGGTGAGAAATGGGTGCTGCAGGCAAGAAGTAGTGGTAGCGTTAAAAAGACCCCCACCTGAGGCCCGTGGGGGTCATGTTGGCTCTTGTCCTACACAAGTTCTTGTCAGGACGGCCCTGCACTAAGGGACCCTCCTCATCTGGGAATGGGGGCTGAGCCTCAAAGTGGCCAAGAACCCTGCATGGAGTCCCACAGCCAGGGCAGCAGTGGTGTTAGGGTGTTGCCACCAGGCAGCTTGACCATTATTTTGCCCCAGGGCCTGCCCAGGCCTCCTCTCCCCCAGGAGCCAAGCCCCTTTGTCCCTGCCCACCTCCTACTCAACCCTTATTCCCTGAGTCACTCAGAAAGTCCAGTGTTGCCCCAGCTGGGTCTCCAGGTTATTGCCCCAGCTGGGTCTCCAGGTTATTGCTCCAGCTGGGTCTCCAGGTTATAGCTCCAGTTGTATTGTCCCAGCTGAGTCTCCAGGTTATTGCCCCAGCTGGGTCTCCAGGTTATTGCTCCAGTTGTATTGTCCCAGCTGAGTCTCCAGGTTATTGCCCCAGCTGGGTCTCCAGTTGTATTGTCCCAGCTGAGTCTCCAGGTTATTGCCCCAGCTAGTCCCCGAGGTTGTCTTGTGAGGAAGCATGAGGCTGAGCCATGTCTGGTGGACTCAGACCCAGGGAAGTGGGTGCAGACATGTAGCAGTGTATGCTGTACAGGGAGGAGCCCTGCTGGTTATTCTGGACTCTCAGGGAGCACTCACCTGGCTGCTCCACGCATTGGACGCTGGGCCAGGCAAGGTGGCAGGAGGGGCATGATGTCCTTTCTGCCTGGGGGCTTGGGACCCTCACCCAGACTCCTACATCCACTCCCAGCCAGACCCATGCAGCTCACTCTTTACATCAACAATACTTGAGTGCCCACCACCTGCCACCCACTCCACATCCTCGCAGGCACACACATCTCCTCAGCTGTGCAGCCACACCACACGCACCCTCACACACACTAACTCGCATACTCACGCGTGCTCAGCCCACAGCTGGCTCTCCTCCCTTCTACTGGGAGGTCATGGTGGCTGGCCTGGCTGGACTCAGGATGAATGAAGGCTTTGGGCCCGGGGCTCAGATGTGAGTTCACACACCCCCTCTCACTCCTTCTGAGTAGGAGCCAGGCCCAGGCAGGGGACATGATGGCGTCTGCTCTCCCCCCCACCCCCACCCCACCAGCCCCTCCTCTCTGCGCTGGCTGCTGGCCTCAGAGGACTGGCCAGGCTATTGGGCTGGGCTGCAGGCTGAGGTCAGTGTTTCCTGTGAGCTCATCTGGCTGGGAGCTCCCAGCAGACCCGCTGCTGCTCTGGCTGCCTATGGAGGAGCCAAGGGAGCCATCCCTGGGCAGGGTGGCTGCTGCATGTGTGCACATACATGTGCATGGGTAGGGGTCAGTGTCTGAGTCCGCCACTCTGTGGCCTGAGTTCAGGATGGAGTAGGAGTACATATGTATGTGCACATACATGGGTGAGTGTTCCTTCAACCAGGGCTAGGGAGAACCCTCCTATGTGGTGCCTAAACCCCAAGCCAGTGTCCAAGTAGGTGTATGAGTGTGCAAGTGTGGGTTGCACATGTGAGCATCCCTCATGAATGACAGCCTGGAAGACCCTCAGGGTCATCTCCTGAAGTGACCCTTGATTTGAGGAATGTGAGGAATGGAGGAGCGTGGGGCCAACTTGTGTGGTTTACAAAGCAAATTCAGCATTACATTGAACATTAAAATAGTTTTATATTTAGGAAATAATTTGTTTGAAAGTGCAGGCAAACTTCCGGGAAGGCAAGAGGCTCCTGACCCCCAGGGACTCAGGTTCAGAAGGGTCAGGCACACTGCTGGGGGCGGGGCCTTTCACTGCCCCGGCCTCTGAACGAAGTGGGCGCTTCATCAGTAGAACTCCAGCTTTAGGTTCTGGCTTGGCCTCACAGTGACTGTTTCCCCATTTGAAAAGTGGATGTGGTCATTTTGGCGCTGCTTGTCTTCCTGGGTATTTAGGAGCAAAAAATTTTGAAAACCAAGAAGGGCTGTGTGGCAGGGTGTGGGAGGAAGGGGCACTGTCCTTCACATCTTAGCCAGCATGTGCTGGGTACCAGGCACATAATAGTAGATGTGTTCAGCTGGGTATTAAAGGAGGCATTGAATGACTTTACAAATGGTTTTGGAGAGCCATCTAAGGAGGTCCCCGCCTGGAGTGGGGGTCCCAACCAAGGGGGCTGTGCCAGCAGCTTTTGCCTGCTGTCCCACTTCTAGTTTTACCAGGGATGCCACAAATCTTGACTTCCATAAAACTCAGCTTTAACGTTTTAAGCGCCATGTGGACCACACTCAATGCTGTGAGAGCTCTGGGGGGAGTGGATACCTGACCACCTCCCAGGGCTGTTCCCGCTGGCCCTGCTCTGCTGGCCTGCCTCACCCATTCTTTCTACACAACCCCATCACAGGCCCCAGCATGGCACCGTTCCTGCGCATCGCCTTCAACACCTATGAGCTGGGCTCCCTGCAGGCCGCGGATGAGGCAAGCCAGCCCTTCTGTGCTGTGAAGATGAAGGAGGCACTCAGCACAGGTAGGGCTGGAGGCTGGACCCTGGAGAGGTGCAGCAGCCAGTGGAGCTGGGAGTCTGGACCTAGTGGGAGGCAATGGCGAGGCCCAGCCTTGTGCCCCCAGAACCTCTGAGGGATCCTTCCTCATCCTCATCTCCCTGCCCAGCCCAGCTATGGATGCAGGACAACGGAGGCCACCAAGTGCCTGTGGGGCCTCCAGCACTGGCTGCATGGAGCCCTCATTGGGCTTGAGGCTCTGGCTCCTCCTCACCCAACAGTTTCCACATGTCCATGTGCCAGGCCCTGTGCTGGGCACTGAGGACATCACAGGGCTCCAGGGATGGCCTAGCTCTGCCCTCGTGGGGCTTTCCTTCAGGTGGGGGAGCCAGACGATGAGTCCTGTGAAAGGGAAGCTGAGAGTAGGCACAGTCCCAGGCTGGAGTCAGGGACGTGGTCCTGGGAGAGAAGACCATTCCTTCTTGCGTCTGCCTTCATCTGGTGAGCCCTGGCTCATCGTTTAGGTCTCAGCTGAGCTGTCTCTTCTTCCAGGAGCCTTCCCACCCCTTAGGCCGGGACAGGCCCCCTACATGGGCGGGTCTGGAACCGGCCTTACCCACTCCAATTTCATGACAGTTATGATTTAACATTTACTAGAGGCATGAGCTGGTCCATGTCTCTGCCTGCGACTGAGGCACCAGGAGGGCAGGCACCAGGTGTAACTTTTCATTCTGCCATGTTCCTTGCCTCCAATATAGTGGCTGGCATGTGGCAGCTCTCAGCACGTGTTCACTGAGTAAGTGCGTAGGGAAGGGGACATCTAGGTAGGACTGGAGGACTAGGGTCCCAGGAAGAGGGAACAGCAGGAGCAAAGGCCTGGCGATGGGACCTGGCAGGACACCCACGAGGAGCTGCCAGAGTTCTGTGTTCTGGCATGTGTTGTGAGAGGAGGAGGCTGGTGAGGTGAGCAGAGCACAGTCGTGCAGGCTGAGCAATGGGACTCAGTCCCAAGGACACAGGGCAGCCACGTGGGCCATTGGGAGAGAGCCAGGCGGATTCTATCGGGCTGAAGACTCCGGCAAGTCTGGGACGGGAGGGACCGAGGGGCCCTTGCTTCATGTGACTGGCTTGGCCCCACTGCAGAGCGCGGGAAGACTCTGGTGCAGAAGAAGCCCACCATGTACCCCGAGTGGAAGTCCACGTTCGACGCCCACATCTACGAGGGTCGCGTCATCCAGATCGTGCTGATGCGGGCAGCTGAGGAGCCCATTTCCGAGGTGACAGTGGGCGTGTCCGTGCTGGCCGAGCGCTGCAAGAAGAACAACGGCAAGGCCGAGTTCTGGGTGAGGGGCGCGTGAGCTGCGGTCCTGTATGCATGTGTGTGTGTGCGTGCGTGCGTGCGTGCGTGCGCACACAGGGAGTGAGCATGGCTGCTGGGTGCAGCTTTGCAGCTAAAACAGCTGAGTTCGAATCCCAGCACTGCAATTTACCAAATCCTGGCTTTTCTGTAAAAAGGAGGAGCTGCTAAAAAACCCTACCTCAGTGTTGGTGGCTCAGATGAAACGAGCAGCTGGATGTAAAGGGCTGATTGCAGAGCCGGCACAGGGTGGGTGCTGAAGCGAGCCAGCCTCGTTATTGAAACGACCTTTTTCCCTTTTGATTTTGTGAAGGTAGGATGTGCCCATAGTAAAGCATGCCACACTGTAGGTAAAAGTGAGTCTGGCCCTAACCCCGGCACCAGGCTCCCTTCTCAGAGGCACCTGTTGTTCCCAGTGCTGTTTGGAATCTTTGCAGATATTCCAGGCCCAGGCAGGCACTCGGGAACAGCAGTTATGATCTTCAACAGCGAGAAGGGGAAGGCTGAGGGTCCACCACTCACCTGCCAAACCAGGACTCTGCACTCACATGTGGCCCTTGTGGCCACCGGTGCCGGCATTGGCAGAGAAGCTCCGCCCCCCAGGGTCACATGTGGTCCCCTGCAGCCAAGATGTCCCCGCTAGAAAAAGACCTGTGACCATCAGCCTCCAGGAAGGGCTGAAGGCATTGGGCCAAGAGAGTTGACTCAGGGCTGCGCTGACCCTTGGCCAGTCAGGCAGCGGCACTTGCTGAGCTCTCTGTCCATTACCCTGAGGGACAATGTCAGTCACCAGGCCTGGGTTCTGAGGAGGGGAGGGTCCTGCCCTTAGAACCAGCCAGTCTGTTGAGGAGACGGACATGCAGAAGCCCTGACAGACAGAAAGCCAGCACGTGTGAAAGTGGGCGGGTGTCGGTGCCTCTGCTTGTGCAGGGGGACGCGGGCCTGGGTTCTCATATCCTTGTGAAGGGGCCGTGCTGTTGAGGGTGGGGAGTTTCCCTTCCCACTCTGTTCCCAGGCCAGGCGGCCAGGCTGGGTGTGGGGTGGATTCTTTCACTTCCCCAAATGTAATAATACCCCTGAGTGGAGGGTGGGGGCGGGGCTCAGGGGCGGGGCCTGTCCCTGCCCACACCAGGCAGACAGGTGCCCTGCTAGGCGGCCAGGACTCCCTTGGCCTTGGGGGACCAACCATGGGGGCGGGTTCTGAG